AGCTTAAAAAAATTGTGTACCCAAAGCCACACAAAAAAGCCAAATATATGACCACACACACCATCAAAATGATCATTCATATTTTTAGAAATTAAAGGAGAGCAATCATAAAAAACTTCAATTTGAAGGCAAGTATGTTACAAACTACTCATATACATTAAAATAATTTTAGAATACTGAATATCCCAAAAGTACCTACAAATGAAGGATGAATAGGAAGTATGACAACAGAGGGGAAATATGTTATTAAAATGTTCCAACTGTGCTAAAATTTTCTGATCAGGTGAATATGTAACCTGCTAAGATATAAATGCTCACTGAAAGAACAATTTATTTAGCAAATTTATCTGATTAAAAATTAATTTATATTTATCCAAAAACTTAACTGGCTTATTCTGTTTCAGCACCAGTATCTAGATAATCCACTCAGAGTGTATGTTCTTTAAAAGACTAGAAAGTAAATTATTTTAACCAATTACTGTAGAAGTTTATCCTTCAAATACATTTAGTTCTGTAAAATACTACTGTAAGTAATTTACCTAATCCTTAATTCACTCAAAAGTAAAAATATACCCAACCCATCTTCAGGAAATTATTTCAATTATTTTTCTCTATCTTGAATTTTATTTTCAAATATATCAAAATCTCAATTAGTCTTTCCCTAAATTTTTTATATTCAGAAAATACAAAATTAAACAATACGCTGAAATCAAAATGCAACAAATCCTTGAAAACAGTAAAATATACTCCATTTATTTTAAATAATGCCATTAATGTGACATATATATCTTTTACATCTAGAAATGTAAATGATCATAGTGAAATGAAAGCCAACATCTCTCTCAATCTCAGCCTCATATTCATATATGTATATACAATTATAACCCAGAGATATCATGTAATAAATTAATACACACCTTCCTTTAGTATATGCCAAGGTAGACACACAAAAACAAGAAAAAAATTTTGAAATCAGAGTATAAAGGGATTCTGTTCTTTCACACAATGCAGCACTGAAAGCCAGGTCAGCATCGTTGGGCATTACTAAGAAACTTTAGCACATCTAATATTTCTATCATCTTCAAGATTCCTTTGAACAATCAGAAAATTTCCCAATCACCCCCTACCTCACCTGTCCATAGACTTCCTTTAGCTTTCCTCCCTCTACTGTGTAATAAAGCTGTTGCAGGTTATTTAGGCTGTAAATGTTCAGAGATTCAACCCCCTCTCTATATTAATTCAGTTCATTTTCTCACAGACACTGACTCAGCCGTGGGTTGTGCAGCACTGACGCTTCTAACCAAACAGCATCTTATGAGCTGTGATCATCCCATTTCTCCATCTCTGAGCAGTGATTGGACATTATAATTGACAGACAAGCGGAAGAAAATGCAGGAGACAAGGGCTTAGAGATATGTAGATATGTTACCAAATGCCATCTGTAAAGCTAATTCTAGCTCTGCCAGCTTGCCAGGTTTTAGAAAACGAGGATGTAGCTAACTTTCTCTATTCCCTTCAAAATTTGTCCATTCATTCTGAACAGTAAAGCTTGTCATTAAAACCAAAGAGAAAATATTATTTGGACTTTTAATAACCCACTCAATAATAATTTTTTTGAGCAACCAAACTTTTCCATTCTAAACAGATGCTGAAAGTGGGACTAGGGAGTGACTTCCAGAGGAAAAATGAAATGCTCACACTTCATGCAGTCTCAGAAGAAATGAGCATGCGTACTTCTACAAGGGAATGGAACCTTGCGGCAAAGTCTGATATTGAATGTATGATGCATTTATCTTTAGTAACCTGAGAAGACTGCAGATGTTTGAAATTTTATATACTCATATTCCACACAATTCAAAATATTCAAGAACTCTCAGCTTACTTTTTTACCTACACATTTTAATATTATAAAGAAGAGGTGTTCTTTTTCTTTTTTAAACAGCAAAAACTCCTCTAACTCATAACTTAAAGAAAAGCTGTCACAATTCAGGCCAGATATACTTCAAATGAAATGAACTTTAACATCTTTAGCAAGCTATTAAGCCCCTCTACACAAGTATTAACTATACAATTAACACAAAAACAAATTTCACTAATTTTTAAACTACTTGGATACATCTGAAGAGAGATTGTAGGCATCCTGAAGTTCAGCTATGTCTAGAACAGTTTCTCTATCTTGTCTTTTATATCAGAGCATAATACATACTGAGCCTATGTCTAAAAGAACATTTAGAGATGAATACTTTTAATTGTAGTAGATGGAGTAGAAATTATAAGCCAACACCACCAAACCCTAAAATATCAACCACGAGTAAGTACACATAAGAAACTATTATTATTACTTTTATAAATCAAAATATTTCTTTGGATCATAGTCAAGAAAGAAAGGTGAGGAAAACAAATAAAAAGTAAAATACTAAAAACACAGGGTATTAAAAAATATACATAAAACAGAACACATTTAAAGATGACTTTTAGATTACCCATAAAAGTTGAACCAGTAAAGAAAACCAGACTTATTTCTTTACTTTTTACTCACTTAAACCATTTTATTCATTGTTTGAGTTAGCAATATGCCAGTTTAAAAATTATACTCTCAATTCTCCTGATCCAAAGTTGGCCAAATGACACTATTCTTGCCAATGAATTATAAACAGATACCGTGGGAATTTCTGAGATATTAATTTCCTGATATAATTTCCTTGACTCTTTAATCTAGTCTAGAAGGTGGCTAGAGCCACTGTGACTACAAGGGAAAAGTCAGGGAAATAGAGATTTTTAATCCTTAGGCAACTAAACATACATCAGTCATTTCTTGCTTCTGGACTTCTTATGAACAAAATAATACCACCACCACCACCACCACCACCACCACCATCATCATCTCTAATTTATGCTAGAGTTTTGTGTGGTTTTCCTTTAACCAAACATCATTAAAGTAAAAAAAAAAAATTAGTAATAGATGAAAAATATGGAAATAAAAAAAGGATGAGCAGATAGATGAAACAAAATCTCCATGAGTTCATAACTTTGAGCTGGGTGATGGGTAGCAGAGGTTTATTATATCTGGCCTATTATAATAAATTAATCAATATTTGAAAAAGAACAAGAACCATGTTTATAAATTTTAGCTCTTCCATCTACAAGTTGTATAGCCTTAGGAAAGGCTATTAACCTCATTTTTTTTCACCGACAAATGGAAGCTGTGGTTCTATCCAGAACTCCACTTTGAGATCCAGTCAAGGTAATTTCATGCAAGTTCCTGACAGAAATATCCTTCATCTACTCTAATATTCTAATCATCCAGGATTAGCCTGTTTTATTTTTACCCAGTAAAATTGATAGTGATTCTGTCTCTGAACTTTTACTATTCATTACTACAGTTTAAATATCACGTAGTCTTCTAATTGATCCATTTGCTATTATTAAAGCATTCCATAATACCCTTACACACTTGAAGTGAGGGCATATTCTCAATAAAGCATGCTGATCGTTAGTTTTTAAAACTTCTCAGCAAATTAGTTACCTATCAGTTCCCAAAGTACCATATTTTAAAAGTCAAACTATACTTTTTTAGATCTATTTAAAAAAAAACTCTTATGGTCAATTTATTGATATTATTTTTATTTGACTTTAATATTTCTCTTTAAACAATCCTGTGTAGCTAAAAATAGCTCCAAAATTACTAATGACACAGCCATCAACAAATTATTGAAATGAAACAATAGCAATGGAAAAAAGTACTGTATATTTTCATAAATTTTTCCCACTGTATGAATGTAGCTTTAAAAAAATGACTTATTTCTACCCCTGTCATCTCTTCTTTATAGAATACTATGTTGTAAATTAACAGAACTATAACAATTAGGAAGGGTAACATATAATTCACCTGAAAACACATGTACAACCTAGTAGATAATATAGTCCCACTAATGCGACAAAATTAAAAACTAATCTTGAAAACAAAAACAACTAGAATCCCATTCAACACACAAAAAGCAACACAACAAACATTCATACTCTCTGGCATATACTTAAAATTTATTAAAGTCAAGTCAACTTAACTTTTATACTTTAAGACTTCATCACATCAAAAGTCCACTAGAGTTGAATTCATCCTCTCAAGAGATTTAAAAAGTCACTAATTTTCTAGCTTTAATGTACAATTTAAAAGAAACCAAACTATTTCTTTAAAATTACAAAAAGGATTTTAATTATCATGGCTTTTTTTTCAAGAAAGCTGGTATTTATTATCAATGATCAGGGAAATATTACACTGAAGTAAGTTAAAAGTTAAAACACCTTCCAAGTAATATTCACAAAGTAAAATCTTCTATAAAAACATGCTTACATACCTGTAATATGTGAGGTTTATGAGCTGTCAACACCTTAAAATATCAAACCACAAAATATTCTTAAGTGAAGCACTCCTCTTTAATTAGTCACAGAATACAAAATGAAAGTTTAAAATGAATATACAGATGAGTGAAAACTTTTGAATGGAATTTAATTTCATCCATCAAATTTTAAATGACAGGTAAAGTTATTCCAGAGAGATTTTCTATTAGGATCAATGTGACAACACAACATAAATTCACATAGTTAAAAATATGGCGTCAAACACTGACATTAACCTATAAACTATCATGTGTAATCTGCACACATAATATATTTATAGTATAAAATAACTTCCTATTACAGACTTTAAAATACAAAGAACAAGCCTGCCTGTCACAGTTTCCAATGTAACCAATTAACATTTAATCACAAGGTCAACAAAGATTTTGACATAATTTAGAGACAAGTAATATACAAATATTAAATAATTAAAAGGAAAGAAATGTTTCTCTAAAAATTAAGTAGAAATACAACCATGCACAATACTGTACTTTGAAACCAGTCCCATTCTCTGACAGGTCTTGCCACAGCCAAATGCAGTAGTAGTCTTTATATTCTATTTTAGCAAAGCATTGTATGTGAAATACGTATTTTCTACCTACCTTGAATGTTTATAAAGTTTACGAGGTCTACTATGCAATTTCCGATCCCAATTCTCTGGATCACTGGAGTTACTGTCATAGGGATGAGGCCGTCCTGCCATCCCACTTCAAGTTTCCTCACACTACTGCTTTGAAAGCACACATGTAGCACCTATAACCTACATAAAAGAGTAGTGTGCACCTTGAAATCTATTCCATGTAGAATGAAATAGCCATAGAATTTTATATACTTGATATTATTGTGACATTTTTAAAGTGACAATAGATCACAAAATGTTAAACATACCTAACCACAAATCAGATGATAATAAGCCCTATAAATTTTGAGGTACTTTTCATTTGATTCATCTTTTAAATATGCTACCCTTCTGCAACAAATTGACAATGCATTATTTACTGTTAATGAACAACTGTCAAGGTACTTCATGTTTCTCTAAGCATCAATATAATATCAAAAAGGTAAAGATACTTCACAGAACAATTCTTCTGGAACTCTTTTTTTTGGTGGTACTGGGGATTAAACCCACAGCCTCCACACTGACCTTTTTAAATTTATTCTTTAAAGACAAGGTCTCACTAAGTTGCTCAGGCTGGGCTCTAACTTGTGATCCTCCTCCTCAGCCTCCCAGTGCTGGGATTGCTAGTGTGTGCCACCATGCCCGGCTGAAGCACTTTTCTTAATTACTAGAGGTTAAGATGCTTAACAAAGAATCTAGTAAGACCAAATAGCAATTATTATTCCTTTAACCAAGTTAAAGACCCAGAATAGAAATTTAATTTTTGCCCAAAAATAAATGTATGTAAACATTCTGATGTCTCCTTATAGTGCAAATTACCACAAAAACACTTTATCACTACAACCATTTATTTATTATGTATTTCATATACAAGGCTTGTGATTTAAATCTATTATAGTTCTATAAAATTATAAGAAAACTCAATAGCTTCAGAGTACCTGAACTAAGCATTTAAAAAAGTATATTCACTATCCAATTTAATCTTCACAACAACCTTGCAAAGTAGGCATTAGAATGTCCACATACAGAATAGAAAACAATGTTAGAATTTTGGTAATTTTGTCAAAGTTCACAATACTGGCCAATGGTAGGATTATAAAAAACAATAATAATTTAGTACATACATTAGTTTTGACTTGAAATATGTTCAGACTTGTTTGAAAATAGATCAGAGTTGATTTTTTGAGATCATAAACACAAAAAGAGAAACCAATGACAAGCAAATTTATATATCTCTGTCCAAATTTGAACAATTATATAAATTTCACTTTAAACCTAGGTTTCCTGACCCCTGCTCCTAAGCTGGATTTGAAAGAAGTAAGTTAAGGGGAAGTTGTACATAAAAGTAAAAGGGGTGAAGGGAGGGCAGGGATATGGGGAAAAAATAAGAACCAAGATACATCCTGCAAAGGTACAAGACTAATGAGATTTAAGTTAAGGGGAAGTTGTACATAAAAGTAAAAGGGGTGAAGGGAGGGCAGGGATATGGGGAAAAAATAAGAACCAAGATACATCCTGCAAAGGTACAAGATCCTAATGATGAATGTAACTGTATTGTATACCTAAAATGTACCAATAAACTTAATAGGAAAGAAAAAGTAAAAAGGAAATTCCAGCTGGGGATTTAGCTCAGTGGTGCCGCCATGTGCCTCACAAGTGCAAGGTCCTGAGTTCGACCCCTGGTACCAAAAAACTGGGGGAAATTCCAAAATTGGGAAAATACTCCACCTTCCTGAGTTTTACATTACTTTAGTACAGTTTTGCAAATATCAAAGATAAATCCATTAAATTCTGACTCTATCAAAATATGTAGAAAAATGGCTTCATTTTAGAGAAACTATTCGACTATTTCAGTTTTTCCTCATAGGTATTTATTACCTTCTTTCCAAAAACAGTTGGAAATCTTATCATATGTGAACATATTTGGCTTTCTGAGACAGAGTCTTGCTATACGTAGTTCAGGCTGGCCCTGAACTCACTATCTAGGCCAGGCTGGCCTTGAACTCACAGGGATTTTCTTGCCTCAGCCTCCCAAATGCTGAGAGCATAGGCATGAGCCGCACACCCAACTTTCAACATCTTAATATATAAATAAGTAATTACATCAATGAGTGAAACAAAAATGGGAAAGGTGAAAAATAAGCACTGCACAACAGCTGATTCAAATCACTAAGCAAATGCTATCTGGTTTACTTGTTGAAGTCATCTAGAAAAGAAAATCTATATCCTGAAGGATCACTGGATCATTAAAAAATCAGGTGATAGCTGAACATCAAAACCATGAAATTGTTCTGAACACAAAAGTACCTCAATGTCATCTCAGTTTTTAATTATAAAAATAAAAGTTTTCTTTAAAGGAAACATCAAAACTTCAACTTTATATCATGGCTATCTGTACTGAAAAGATGAGGCAGAAAAGAAAAAAGAATGAATCAGAGAGACAGGAAAAAAACTGGAAAAAGTCATCAAAGCAAAAACGAAAACTGAAGAACAGCAAGAAAAAAGGCAGAAAAAGAAAGATGTAGCAATTTAGCATATTCTATAGGATGAGATTGAGAACATTTTCTCCCGAATTATGCAATCTTCCAGTTAACTATTTTAGGGATTAACATTTCTTTACAAGACCATTTTTTCTTCCTTACCCTTAACTATTAGAGACGCACATGTGATTAGGAGAGCCGCAGATACCTTCTGAGAGAAAGAATGGTCTGAAAGGACAGGAAGCAGTGACCAAAAAAATAAGCTCCCAGAAATGAATAAGTGAGATTCTATCATTATTACAGTGGGTACCACACATCTAGCAGTAGGGAAATTACCAATATGTGTCTCCTAATCAGTCTTACTGAAATTAATGAACATGTACTTTACAGCAAGAGACAAAAAAGTAAATGTTTAGCTAAAACTGTTATAGGGAAAGTAACTCCCAACCTATTAGATGACAGATATGCTGTTTGTGGCCTCACAACATCGAAGAACTAAGTCATGAACCAAAGGAAGAAGTTAGGAGAGTTGCTGGAAATAAGAAGAATAGCTCCAGATTTTTAAGAGGGTCCGAGTGGATGGCTATTGAGGCGCTTGCCAAAAATATTTTATGCAGGGGCTGGGGATTTAGCTCAGCGGTGCCGTTGCCAGCCTCGCAAGCTCAAGGTCCTGAGTTCAATACCCAGTACCAAAACAAAGTATTTTATACAGCAAATTCCAACATGGATACCATGTGGGTCAAACCACAATCACCTACAGGATTACAAGTATGTATAGTTGCTTAGCTAATATTGATCCAATAGGGAAATGAGTCATATAACAAAGGTACATGGAAAGAACAAAGGCATTCCTGGAAAGGGGGTCACAGGATGTTCTGGTCACCCACCTGTATGTCTGATGCCTACAAGGGCTCACTGGGCCAGATGGTACTAATCACAGTTACAATCTCAACATGCTGTTTATCTCTAGGCCTCCAGCCACAATCTTGGTGTGTCTCACCTTCAGCACTGACTCCCTCAAGGGCCCGATCTTTCTTTGGCTGCCTATTAACTTCTATCTAATTTAGCCGTTTATAATGAAAGCAATTAAAAAGATATCATATTCACATCTTATTTGCCAATAAAACTACAGTATTACCATGTGAAAGATAGTCTGTTACTTTTATTCAATAGTCATGGGAATATAAGATGCTAAAAACAAGTAAAATTCAAATTGAGATATTTAAGGGAAAGGTGCCTACCTGTCTACACATTTTAGTGTACTTTTTAATTTTACAACTAAGCTATAGATAAAAGAAATGCTTAAAAGACAACTGACACATTATATACTGTTTGTAATGAGTAACGATTTTGTCCATTTAATCACCCTCTGTGCCACACTGACATAAAATTTTTTGGATTTCATTCATTCATTCAAGCACTTACTAAGCATATATCAAGTGATTTACAAGATGCTACTGTAAGTTAGGCATCATTCTTCTAACATCCTAGTAAGAGAAAAAAAATGATTCCTCTCATGGCTCCTTAGGCCATCTGCTCCTGTCTCCTCTCCTTTCCTTTCTCCTTTCTCTTTTCTCCTCTCCCACTTTCTCCCCTTCTCCCTTTGGCCCTAATCAACAGCATATCTAACTCAAATTCTTGCAGTTTCCCTACCTTTTATTCTCATTACATCTTGGTGCTCTTTAGGATTCCATGATCCTCTCCCTTCCCTGTCTGCTGGGTCCAAGGAGGTGGTAAACAAAAGGAAACCCTGAGAATATCAGGATTTACCTACTATATACAATTTGTATTTTCATTCTTGCCATCTAAAATTGTTCACCAAGCTCCCCAATTCAACAAACCTAGTTTCATCATCTTGGCCTCCCATGTTAGCTAGGGTCATCTCTATTCATCAAGTAAAAAATATTGAAGACAGCCTTGACATCTCATTTCCCCATATTAAGTCTATTTCAAAATTTTCTTTTGACTAACTTTTTATTCATAAACTCTTATCATCTATCAACAATACACCTTTTGGCTGCTCATTAGTACCATTAAACTGCACATTTGCTCTACTGTAATATCTTTCTTTTAGGGCTCCATTTCCTTTATCTAAATCTTTGCTGTTAAGGGATTTCAGCATAGATGTCAAATCAGATAAACTAAAATGTATCATTTGGACCTTACAACCTAACAAATGCTGGGAGCAATACACTGCAGATCACTATGGCCAGGCCTAACTCACCTCCTCTCCTGGAGGGTGCTGTAGAGCAAGGCCAGGCCAAGAAGAAGACTATCTTTTCACCCATATGCCAGAAATATCAAGCATTACCTTCTGTTCCAATCAGGCACTCCCTTTTGGTTCTTTTATCTACACTATTTTAAAAAGTTTGCTACAGTTTTGATAGGTATCTTTCATTACACCAGTCTCAGCCTAGATCTCCAAAAGCTTCAATTAAGAGATCTTGTCTATTCTACACACTTATGTTAGTTTCCTTAACCAATAAAGACAGAACAAAATCTGTTCTTGATTTGCTAAACAGATTCAATCCTTTTAACCTAGCCTAATACAGCACTGCTATGATAAGAAAATTTCTGATTTTCCTGTTGATACTAGTAATGTTTGCTAGTCCTCCAAAGTCTTCCTAAGACAACTCACTAAACTTGCCTTGAGCCATCATC